GGACTTCACTGTCAGTCACTGATGGTAAGATGTCCGTACTGCAGACTGTAGCCAATGAAACCTACAGTATGAAAGATGTCAGTTAGTCAGAAAGGAGGGACATTAACACAAACACAGAAGGAAATAATCTTTCAGAAAATATTGCATTTAAAAATATTATTTATAACAGGTCCCAAATTTTACTTTTGTTCCATGGAAAATCTGAGGGGCAACTTAAATAGGCTGCTTCATGGGTATTAATATGATTAATATGTCAAGATATTAGGCGTGGGAATTATATCGATATTTGTTTGCTAATTTTATGTGTACTCAATTTTTAAACAGATTTCGCATTAGTTCGTTTAGGTCTACATTTAATGTAAAGACACGGGCTGTAACGGTACACTATTCGTCGTGTGCCTTTCGGTTACAGCATTTTCAGTTTGCAACACGCAATGAAACGAATTAATATATTTCTTGACACGATCGAGTGACACCTAAATTCAGAAGTAGATGCTCCACATGGAAAACATTATGCTAAATGTGGCTTTGAGCTGGTTATGGCTGGTGCTGTACAGCTCAGAGACCCTCAGACATCGCTGAAATCTGCAGTTTGCCAACATTTTGGCTTCGCAATAAATTACGCTAGAGCGCGAGACTGTGATTGATAAGATTGTCTGTCGGCTCTGTTATACCGAACCGGTATTTTTCTGCAAACATCCAACATGCTAACTTATTTGACACGACGTCATCCGAGTGTGAGGTTCTGACAGGAAATTCAGACCCGGCAAAAAAAAAAAAACAGAGTAATGCTAAGTTCACACTACATGATTAAAGCCCCAATTTTCTGCTCGCCTTAAGTTTTTGCCGATGGCCAACAAAAACCTCAGACCGGAGCCACATCGGTGTTCGCAAACCGGCGCCCGATCGCTGTTAGTGCACAGACGTGACCGGACGGAGTCGCCGGTGCGTCGCAGATGCCCATCAGATACCTATCAGGTTAAATGTCTGCACCTGTCACAACTCCGATTCCTGTAGGTGTGGAAAGTACTAAATGTACCCCTACTAGAAATGCCCTTTTGGTTGATAAGCGTTACTATAAACAC